AGATAAGCTCACAATGTGCCACCGTAACCTGCTCAATTCTTCCTCAAGTTCCACAATCTTCTCATCGGTCCGCAGTGTTCACGCGTTATATGTTGCCATGTCCAGTAGTCGTTTTTTATGTTAACCGGATCTGGGTATGTATGAACATCTTTAAAATAGTTATAGAATAAGCCTTTTGAGTGCCGTTCTAGAAAAAGAGGATGAATCCACTGTATTTTCTTTGCTTTTCGTATGTTAGGAGATAAAGTCTAAATCGCTCGACGAAAGGATCATAAATGGACGTCGACTGGCTTCTATAACTGGCTGCTCAAATATTTCGGTTGCCGCAGCCAGGCTGCGGGGGGTGCGCAGGGAGCCTTAGAGCTCGCATGTATAACGTTTTAAATATTTATAAGTTAATAACTATTAGAAATAACAATTTAAAATTATTTTGCTGTGAATTTAGTATTGATTTTGGTATTTTTTTAAGTTGTTTTTTTTCTACTTGCAGATTGTCAAATTCGTCATGAAAACAGTTGTGAATCTGAGTGAAAATTTTTCTCTTCATGAAAATAGTGAGGCGATGAAATTAGAATGTTTACAAATAGGAAAATGCGTATTTGTAGCAAGGTGGTCAATCTTCGGAAAATTAGTCTACTGTTTTTTATGATGGAAGGATTACTGGTGGGCCGGAGGCCTTTTCAGTTGCACTAGGACAGGTGGGCGAACACGGGCTCCGCAAGGAGGGGTGGGGTTTTGCTAACAGCTGCCCGAGCGCCTTCGAAATAAACCTAACAGCTTAAGGACAGCTAAGATGTTCCGGGGAGAATCCCAGCGGGCTGATGTATGGGTTAGGTTGTACGTCGAATTCTTTGCAGAGTTCGACGAGTACGGTTACCAAGCTCCCTAGGCCTAGTGCTTAAGATGCTGGCGTCTAATAATAGTGTTAGTGGATCGAAAGGATTCGTAAGGATATGCGTTTACGGTGACTGGCTCCTCCGTGAACCGGAGTCGGGGATTAGTCAGCGGCGACAACGATGCGGGCAATTGTCATAACGCATGACCTTATCGAAGTACCGTTCCGACGCTAGCTTCAGGTGTTTCCTGATCGATTCATGAAGAGTCGACTGATTTGAACGACCTTGATACCGATACATTTGTGCAACTTTTTTCTGACAATTTCTTTTCCAACGTAACAATAATACTTTTTTCGAAATTCCCGGACCAAAACATGTACCCGTCGATATTGAAAAACCTATTGGATATTTTGAATTGTTTTTTACTTCTCTACTCATCAAAATGATAGTAAAAACATCCCGGAGACACCAACCAAATCCAAACAAAACTTTGGTTTAGAGAAATTACCAGGGACGAAGCTTCGCCGTTGTTTGATGTGTATAATAAAGGAAGAAAAAGAGTAACTCCATCTTCGCTGAAATGTGTGCGCTTCAAAAACGAAGTCCGCGTATTTGTTTGTTTTTTATTTATTAAATAAATACCGCTATAGTAAGAAATAGTTTCATTTCAGTAGTTGGTTAAGTCCCTTACACATAAGAGAAATAATTACGAAAACCCATCTAAATTTGAGGAAAACAATTAAGATTTTTTACTTAAATAAGATAGTACGTTTTTTCAAAAATCCTTTAGCAATTTCTGCAAAATTTGCGAAATAAAAAATAAGGTTAGCCAGTACCCTTTTAGGTTGAAATACCATATTTATTTAATTAATTAATTTAATTTAAATTATGTCTTTCAGAAACTAGACCATGTGTGTACATAGAATCACTGAAATGTGATTAAGAAAACCATTGAAAATATATATTTTATAAAACTACACAAAATGGGCACTTTTGGCGGGGTCTACGACATAAGCCACCATTGTTAGTATTATTGTAATTGTAGACAAACGAACATAAGGCCCATCTAATGGTATGTAGTTTCCGTGCCTCATGAACATCAGCAGTTTAAGGTAGACAGCGAAGTTGTTTGTTTGTGTGTATCCATCTCAGTATTTATTTATTGTATAAATGGATGAATGAGCTCACAGCCCATCTGGTGTTAAGTAGTTATCGAAGCCAATAGATATCACTTGAATTGGGTACTCAACTCGAGTCATGAATCCTCATTTGTCTATAATAACTATCCCTCCATCTAAGCCGATATATATTATGCAATATAATACAATATGCCCTATCACAACTAGTAAGCAAATTATATGTTTTGCAGGGATCATTTTTACTACTTACACAGCGTTATTCCTTCACTGTTAAAATAATTCGTAAACACGTATTAAGTAACTATTTCATTAGAGAAATGGTTACCTGCCTGGACCAATTGAACACTGGCATAGCTTGTCATTTAGGCCACGATGGCTTAGAAATCTCACTTTCCGATGCTATGTCGAGTTTAAGAATAATACTACGGCTGCATGGATAGACAATTCGCCCACTTCATCCACGTGAATTACCGACGGTTGAGAAAGGTCTCATTGGGACAGCATATTCCTAACCACTTGACGCGCCACTTTTGAGATGGTCCTGTATGGAGCTCCCATATGGGGTAAGCCAATCCTCGTGCTCAGTTCGTGCGTGAAATCTAGGCATAATCCGAAAAAAGTATGTCTAATCTTTTAGCCCAGTCCATGTGGTCTGCGAGTACCGCAACATAGAACGCAATCGCAATTTTAGTTATGGAACACATAATCTTCAGCCTAGACAGCAGCGCGACTATGCTTCTGGCATTGCTGACGTCCATGACCTATGGTAACCATTCACCATCAGGCGAATATCAGACGATGTCTTGGATGGACCTACATGTGTTCCACAAGATAAATAATAAAATTATAGGTGCGCAATTTTCCGGTCATCGGTCTCGTCGAACCCGTCGCTTGCGACGAAGTAGGAGTGGGTGATATCAATCGTATATAGATTCAATATCTATATATCGCAGCAATATCGTTGAATCCGATATCGCCCCGCACGAAATCTATATATCGATATCAGCCGATACACGATATTGCTCGATGTGATGCGCATCGGCATCGTGGCATATCGTACCGATTCGTGAATCGAAATCTATATTTCGATATCAGCCGATACACGATATTGCTCGATATGCGCATCGGCATATCGTACCGATTCGTTAATATCAGCAATATTCGTTTGGTTCGTATCGAATCGGCCAGAGTGAGTGAGCGCACGATAGGGATATCATGTGATGAATGAAACAGAAACAGGCATTATCCATACAATTGTAAACCTTATATTTAAGTCCATATGTCTGTAGATTATTCTTAGCGTATCAGCAGGATACAATTTAGGAAAGAAGTTTCAACTTTCGACCCTAACTTGAATGCAGTATAGCCTATTTGCATCGTTGAATTTAATTTCACGCGCTTTGACCTTGAACTAGAATTTTTGGACAAGTGTTTATAAATACTTAAAAGTTTTTTGTGTTTGATTTTTAAAGTACACATTTTTCTATTTTTAGTTGAATCCAAATAATTGAGTTTATTTCTTGTGTTTGTATTAAACTTTTGAAATCTACACTCTTTTGGTATATTTTGTAATTTTAAATTAAGACACAAAATACTAAAAACTGAAAATAATGTAGCCAGTCCTAAGCCTGGTAAAAGCATGAAGGAAAGTTTTTTTGATATTTTTATTTTCATGTTCTTTTTATTACTTTAAGATCATATTATAAATTGATATCAGAAAACCAACCGTATAACGTTGACTTAAATCTATATCTACTACGATATTATATCAGCGTAACGTTTCAAATCTCAAATATCATGAATCGAGAAAATCTACTAGCATCCATCAATATATAGATTCAATATCCGATATTGATCCTCGATATATAGATACGATTCGATACGCGGCAAAACCGATATTACCCACTCCTACGACGAAGGGCTCGACGAGTAAATTAACCCTCAGACACAGCCTACTGACTTTCTCGCCGGATCTTCTCGGTGGGTCGCATTTCCGATCCGGTGGTAGATTCTGCGAAGCACGGCTCTTGCTTTGTCAGTGTGGTGGAGCTCGATGGGGTTTAGTCGGTAGTCGTTCTGCAGGGCAAGTGCTTCGCGCGCCTTTTTCAAGGCGTAGTCTCCTGTGAGAAATTGGGGGAGGTGAAGGACCTCGGCTCTTCTCTTCTCCCCTTCTTCCTCTCAGGAGGCGCCGGAGTCCGACATAACCCTGTCCGTTACCCCCCTTGACCGGGTATCCGTAAATGGATTCCCCAGCGTTAAAAAAGAAAAAAGCGTTCGTGTGAACAATATCGTCAGGTTTGAGCCCTGTGAGCTCACCTAATAGTTAAGGTTACGCTGATATAGCCTCTCAACATAGATTTAAAAAAAACGCAATTTTTTGTCAAAGCTTAGGCTGTTTCTGAACTATTATTACCATGAAGATCACTTGTTTCTTGATTATATTCTTTCCGCCTAGCTATCTAATTTTTCAATGTTGTCTGTGGGTGTTATTTTATGCTGATGAAAGTTGTAAGTTATGATAGATTATCTCTATTTTCTAAAGTATTTTTCAATTGCTTTACTTCTTTTAATAGTTTACTGTGTCCAGTCTTCATTTCTATGCTATTTTCCAAACTTATTGCTTTTTCTGTTCATCACTAAACATGTTATATGATGTTTTTTTTCAATATATTATAGTTTTATAGTTTATTTATAGATACAGGTATTGTATCTTGTATTGATTTATATTCATTGGTTAAGATGTTTTCTAAATTGCATATTCTCAAGTAGATATCATAACCTGACAGATATCAGAACAGCTTAAGTACAACTGGTTCTAATTTTCAGATTTTAGGGATTTAACAAAATTTTTATAGCTTGAAGTAGTATTGAAATACTATAAATATTTAAATATAGTGTACGCAGTAACTATGTTGAAAAATATTTTAATTGCATGCATAATTACTTCACTAGCACTCAATTTCAAATGCACAATGTTTATTTACAAAGTTTCAATGGTAGGCGTACCTTAGATAATGACACTGACCTTGTCTGTTGAAATTCTGAGCGACAGTATGTGCACTTGACGACCGGGAATGATCCTCGGCATTCCTGAAATACCACCAATAATACGTCACAATCTAACGTCAAAATACGTATCATAAGTAACTGTAAACAATGACGTACTTCTGCCCTAACCTTGTTCACAGAGTTATCGATTATAAAGAGAGATTTAAATTAAATCATGACTATCTTACCTTGCACAACTGTTCACCTGGAGATAATTCCTCAAACGGATGCCTGGCGAAGCAACGAGAGCACGCAAATGAAGGTGTTGACGTTGAGTTACTCATTTTTATCTCACACAACAAATTGTTTGAAAAGTCACTAATAAAAAACAACTCACTTAAAGTTCAAATTTGCAACGCGTAAACTTACTATTTTTGAAAAATGGCGACTGGATCCCATAGATTTTTTTGTTTAATATGCTCCTTCGGTAAAGCAAAGACATCGTAGTCCATACAACACGTAAGTCTTGTTTGAAAAGCCGAAATCTTATCTGTGGTACGAAAAGCGAAATGGAGCTGGAAAAAATACCATTTTGAAATCACTAATGAGATGGAATTGAATCAAATAGAATTAAATGAGGTGAAACTAAATAACATCTTAGTGAATCGGTTGAAATTTAATGAAAATTCAACGTACTTTTTAGAAGAACGTGATAAGCTGCATACGTCATAAAATTTTGTTTAATTTTCCCACACTTGTACACAAATAAGCGTATAATAGGCTACCATAATACATACCTATTTTAATACGAAGAAACACTCTAGTACTAACAAACTAAACCATTTCATACAGACTCCAAAAACTCTATGATGTATTAAAAATAATTCTAATTTAGGCAATAACATTCATAATATCTGTGACTAAAGTGAAACTGTGTTCCATGTGTACAAATAGTACATATATACAGAGAGAATGCATTCTTAACATATAAGCTAATGCTCAGTAATGTCGGTTAATGTTTGTTGTCATAAAAAAGAGTCATAAAAATAGGATTCAATGGCTCTCTCATCTTTGATGTTACTGTTGTTCAAAATTCAAAAAACTTTTGTATTCAGACAGCTTACTAAACTAATTTGTCTTGGTCAATCAAATTAATATTTAAACTTACATTTCGCAATGCGTGAATAAATTGTTTGTAACAGAGTGATACAAGAATCTTTATCGCTAATAAATTTAACGTATTTAATTTTTTTGAATTACAAATTCGACTCGGGTAAGACTGCGGGTTATGTCTAGTAAGCTTTAATTGTAACCTATTTTAATTAATATAATGATGGTATAAAATAAGTGTTAAACCTTTTAATAACTGGACACTCCAGCTCATAGGTCATCATTGGCTGATTAGGTAGCTGTTTCTTCTTTTTCTTCTTTATTCTCCTAAAGACGTCCACTGCTGGACATAGGCCTTCCCCAAGTTTCAGCACAACAACCGGTCCCGCGCTGCCTGCATCCAGCAAATTGTTGCTACCTTCAACAGTGGACAGGTCGATTGTTGTTATCGGATAGATATGGTATTTTATAAATTCCATCGGTTAATCAGCCTAAAGTCCATTTCATTATTAGGATTTGAATTGAGAGATTGAATTGAATTATAATGTTCAAACCACCAAAGACTCGCTGTTTATTGTGTGACAAATGTGTGTGTTGTTTTTTTAGGTTTAAATGTGTAATAACGGTGGTTTATTAACTGTGAAAGTGCACAAATGGGGGAAAACGAAACAAATCCGCTGGACGTAACTTTTCGGGATCCTCCAAAAAGTCCACTGGAAAAATTTATTATATTTATATATAAAAATTATGTTTCATCCTATATCATCTCATTTCATTTAATTTCATCCCAATGATTAATGTCTCAAATTAATCATCTTTATTTCATTTCATTTCACTCCATATATCATTTTTCATAAATTAAGAATATATAGCTTAAAGAGCTTAGTTACCAGGTCATAAAATCCCTTAAAAAATGAAAATATTGAAATTATTGTATTATCTACATTAACTTGTTGTGCGTCTTTTACTGGATTTTCTTTGAAATTAGTTTATGTATTCATTGTTAGTTAAGTTATGGGATAAATTTCTGTACAACTGTATAATTTTGAAAAAGTGATTGATATTAAATATAATAATGGCCATTCCGCCGTTTCCTTCACAAGATTTGGCCAAACTTGTGCTGGGTGAGGAAACAATCTTGGCGGGAATCGATAGTTCAGTAGTATTAATAAACTTTAAACTAATTTTCATTGTTCATGGTCGTTATAGGATATTTGGCTGAGGAACAGTTAATGACTGCTTATGATGAATTTCTCCAAGCAAGTCCATACCTTGATGCTATGCAAAATGAATACGACAGGATATTTATGACATCTCTCAAAAATATTTTGGCAGAGTATAGAGCCGTCAAAATATATGGTAAGTAAAAGGATTACCAACTTTTGCCTGCTTACCAAAACAAAAAATGTCTTATTTAAGAATTTATCAGAAACTGTCAGAATTTTACTACAAAAATATATACTGCAAAATCATTGACGGTACCAAAATTTATTTGTCTTTTCATTTCCAGTGGAAACTTGCAGACCCTTTACACTCAGGAAGAAGCTGTTTCAATGTTCTAGCCTGTTAGAAATTGTTAAGTTTTTAATCAATTTCGTTGATATTAGTAAATTAGAGGCAATAGAAAAATCTAACAAGTAAGTAGTACTGGAATCAAGCAATTTGCAATGATGTACTTTTTTCCCAACTCTATTAATAACATAATAGGAAAATACTATTATAATAGAATACTGGATAACCAAAGCTCAGATTTTATCAATTATAACTTTCTGTTAATTATTTTTACTTGTGCCCCAGCCTTCATTATACAATGCTTAAACAAAAACTTTAACAATAATGAACTTACAAAACAAACAAAAAAATTAGAAATGAAATAGTAAAATTAACAGGTATAAAAATAAAATTATTTTAATAAGAATGGTAAGAGTTTGGTCATAGTTGTTAACAGATTGGGGTTTATGGAGGTGGGGTGAAGCGGGAAGGTCCTGCACTCTTTTGGAATGTTATTGATTGCCAAATGTTTCAATTAGAATTTGTAATGGTTTTTGTAACCTTATGAATAAATTTATTATTTTTTTGTTGTTGTTATAGATGGTTAGTAGATCTGAATACATGGTATTAATTGGTTACTAGAGAGTCAATAAAAATTACAAAATAAATGATTCCATGTACTTTAGGACATGTCAAACCCTTCTAACTGGAACATGTAACTGCTTTGTGAAAGAAATAGTCAGAATGGTGGAAACCATATGTGTGGTCTCACAATACCTCTATGACCAGTAAATGTCTCTGGATCATGCTTTGTAAATGAGTGGGAATAATTGTAAAAGCTGTATCCCAAATCCTTGAAAAAGTTTAAAAGAATGGTTGAATGAGGTTTTGTTTCCAGGAAGACTGCATTTCTTTGTTTGCAGTCTGATTGTTGAGACCGATATATATTTGTTTCGTTTTTGTGGGTAAGACCTAGGAATGCTATTATCTGATATAGCCATTATAATGGATTCAGGACCTATAGATATAGATATTCCTATAGATATACCTATAGATAATCAAGTCAAGAATGTCATGTATACCATGGTTTAAATATTAAGTAAAAACAGATTTAGTTATTTTGCTCTTATTTGTTCTGAATTTACATTAAAAAATTTCAGTGTCGACAAACGCCAAGTCTCAAATATTTCTAAAAATAATGAATGTGCTGTTTGCAATTCTTCAAAATTGGCCAGCTGTATTTGCACAAATAGACAAACCAATCAGAATGTGGCTCAGAATAATGAAAATTTGCATTCTGTGGAGACAACTTCGCTTGCAGACCTTCCTGGTGAACAAATTCATATTTATTTATTTGTTAAAAATTGCTTATTTTGCTTGTCATAATAGATATTGAGATGGTTGTCTTTGATTTAAATTATTTAAAAAAACATTGTTGGAAGTAATCACAATTTTTGCTAGCTAGTTGGATAACCTTCATAGAAATTGAAAATGATTATCCTACTGCTTTTACCATTAAAAAGTTGGTTTTAGATTATTTAAGTACTTATTCTTTTCATAGACAGCTAAAAGAGCTCACAACCTCTGTGTGGTTAAGTGGTCACCTGCCCAAGTTATTACAACTATAGTGCCACCATCCACCTCCATTTATAAGGTTTATCTCTAAATTGTATTGCATAATAGTGTGTAAGCACAACAACATTCAATTGCTGTTCAAACCAGAACGTTGTTTCATCTCAGAAATATTTCAAATGGCTGTACATACATACTGCACACACTAAAATCTTTTTTTGAAGAAAAATATGTTAGAATGGTCACTTTTTATTACAATTTCTGAATGATTAACTTTAGGCAATCAAGTAGCAAGGCGGAGACCAGTAAGGTTTCTTGAAAAAACATCTACAGCTCTATGTGGCAGTGTTCAGAATAATAGAGTTCATAGTACAAATGTATCAATGGAAATGTTAAGTTATAATAAAGAACAAAATTCAAGCAACTCTTTTGTTAAGTCAAGTGGAGACAATTGTCCTATTGGCAGTATTAATTCCACAGTGAGTATTTATAAATTAATGAATAATTATTTCATTGAGGTACGTAATATATCATTGCGGAGATTTTAAGACACTGAAGTTGAAACTTAACTCTTTGGGGCAAGTCTCCGAATGGGGTGAATTGAACTTGGTTCAATTCAACCTGTTAAAGACACAAGTTTTGCGCGTTCACTGCGAAGAAGGACCCCTTTGTCATGGCGCCGCAATTCCAAAGAGTATCCCTGCAACCTTCCAGGAGTATCGGGATACTTGAGGTCGACATTTCCAGCGATGTCCAGTTAGGGAGTCATTTGGAAGGTACAGCCAAGTTGGCTTCTAAAATGCTGGGAGTCCTCAACAGAGCGAAGCGGTACTTCACGCCTGGACAAAGACTTGCTTTATAAAGCACAAGTCCAGCCTCGCGTAGAGTACTGCTCCCATCTCCGGCCGGGGCTCCCAAATACCAGCTTCTTCCATTTGACTCCATACAGAAGAGGGCCGTTCGGATTGTCGATAATCCCATTCTCACGGATCGTTTGGAACCTCTGGGTCTGCAGAGGGACTTCGGTCCCTCTGTATCTTGTACCGTATGTTCCATGGGGAGTGCTCTGAGGAATTGTTCGAGATGATACCGGCATCTCGTTTTTACCATCGCACCGCCCGCCACCGGAGTAGAGTTCATCCATACTACCTGGAGCCACTGCGGTCATCCACAGTGTTTCCAGAGGTCTTTTTTGCCACGTACCATCCGGCTATGGAATGAGCTCTCCCCTCCACGGTGTTTCCCGAGCGCTATGACA